GTTTTCACGAACGACCACTTTTCTTAATTGATTAATTCTGCAGAACTAATAACCTATTTTTCTTAAAGTTTTGTACATTTAAAAAGATTAAAATCTCTTCTTTTCTCTGATACCTAAATATTGCCTATTGTTTGCATCATTAAGTTTCAAATGTTAAATGAAAAAAAGGACCAACTTTAAACGCGATTATCTCGAATGTTTGTTCAGACAGTGAATGCTAAATTTGCCTCTTCGTGAAAACGATGACGATATGTAGATGTAGATATTTTGAATTGCCCCTTTAGTGTGACGTCACCTGACGTACGTCATCATGACGTCACTGAAATGGTCATCTGTAAAACATCCGGTCTAAGAACCAACCAGCTTACAACCAAATCCGACCTGTAGTTATATAGATACAGGCCTTCGAAAAAAATGCCCTTTTGATGTGACGTCACTTGACTTGTGATGACGCCATCATGACGTCACTGAAACTCTCATCAGTACCACATCCCGGTCTGAGTGCCAACCGAATTAACAAGTTTTAACCAAATCTTGCCAATAGTTCAACATATTCAGGCCTATTTGGCCACCAAAAGCATTTAGTTTGAAAAATTATTAAGTATGATATTTTGGGTTGTAAAAGAAGATATTTTGGTTAAGATTGTTGTTGTAATTGAACAACGACACAGCTGTTTGCCAGATGGTTGTTATTTGTGTCTTAGACTGTACAGAACGATTGAATGATTTATCAAAAAACTGTTACATTTAAACTGGAAATTATGACGTTAATAATTGCACTTCTTCCGGTAACACCGGAAGAAGGTGTAGAAAGAAGGTGTACAATTTAGATTGTACCCAAGATGTTCATCCTTATGATCGTTTTCCTTTAGGGACAATCTATATCGTTTTGGTACATTGAAGACGTAATCTTAAGCTTCTTACATTACCTTTTTGACAGTTTTTAAAGATTGACGCATTCAAATTAGCAAAACGTCGGTGCATATTGTCACCTTTGACCATGCTAACCAGATTAACCAGATGTTTTAATTGACATGCTTGTTATTTCCATCTGAGGTTCATTTAAAAAAAAACACCTTTGGTCTGTAAAATTTATAATGTAATACTTTACTGATATAAGGGCTAGAGATAGTTAATGTAACCAAATACTGAAATGGAAAAAGCTATCGACTTTTTTTTTCAATGTTTCATTTCTTCTTGTTAAAAGTTATTCACACACATCCCTATGTGATTGTTTTCGTTTTGATGAAAGAACAGTTACCTTTTCGAAAAGTGAAAAAAAGATGACGTCATCATGACGTCATAAGAAATGTGATGTTATAAAACGCACACAAGGGATGTTTGAATGTCATGAAAGTTGCTGTGTTGTAGATATATGTACTATTACTCGTATGCACAATCCAAAGTTTGACATAAAAATTGACATCAATACAACAAGTTTAATTAACTTTAAACTAAACAAAGACCAAGTCGAGGTTGGTCCTTAGTGACATCATTATTACGTCATCATAAGTGGGGTGTCATCCGATTGGGTTGATACCTTGCATTTGCAGACAGTGATTGTAATAGATAATTGAAATGAAGTTATGGTGATGTCATTGCGCGGTTTAATCATTGTGTGACGTCACTGTGACGTTTAAAACGACATTTTTAAACGTCTATAGCGAATGACCATTCGTCTTTAAACTTGGTGGGTAGTTGGATAATGTTAAGGTATGCAATATTTGAAATTACGTCATGATGTTGTCATCAGTAATTTGCTTCGAAAATTAACAGTTTTATGTTTGAAAGGTGATGTTTTAAAAGTCTTATAACTACAGGTGTTTCAATAAAAAGGAAACCCAACTTTGAAGAACCAGTATGGACAGACTAAATTTCATTGGCTGTAAAACTGGTATCATCTGAAAGCGTAATCTCTATGCTTTTCAATGATACCTTGTTAACATTTCCAGGGTCATGCATCACTGAGCGCCACTGTCCTGAGAATTTGATGCAAACTTGCAGTTGGTTCACTTTCATGTCAAACACAATGGTGTGGTAATGTGCATAATAAGTATTTAAGAAGAAGACACGAGTGCATAAAAAGAAACCCAAAAAAGTCGGTTGGTTTCAAAATTGGATCTTATTGTTTGTCAGAATTTCTCGTTTTGATCAAGCTACGTTGAAAACAATATGCCATTTTCCTAGGATTATTACATTCAAGCAATTTCACAGACATTTCCGTAAAAATAGGCACACCGTGCCCAGTGGTTTTTTTTTTCATGGAAGTGAACCAACTGCATTTTTTGCATCCAGTTTTCAAGACAATGATGCTCAGTGATGCATGACTTAGAAAACCTAAACGCGGTATCATTGAAAAGAATGGAGACTACGCTTTCAGATGATACCAGTTTTATAGCCGGTAAACATATAGTCTGTCCATAATCATTCTTTTGACGTTGGGTTTCCTTTTTTTTTTTTGAAACGCCCTGTTATATGTAACTGTTAAGATTGCCATCCAAATATTGTTCTAAAAACCTCTGTTCGTCCATTAAATTGCACTTTCACAGGACTGCACAACAAGATTAAAACTTTTCAAAAAATTCATCGAACAGAAAAAGCTTTAGGTTTTTTGGGGGGGGGAGAAGGTATGGAGGCATTAAGCGCCAAAGTTTCAGTAACTTCAGTAAATTCTAGGAGATATGAAAACATTTAGAGAAAATGAACAACTGATGTTTTGTGGAGGACAAATTAAATGTTGTTCAATTAATGGACTCATGCTTAATCTTTTGGTTGTACAAGTCACTTACCTTATTCAAGATGAAATCTTGTAAATACCGGAAGAGATTGTTCTTGAAAAGCCTGAAGAGAAAAAAAGCACAAATGAATTTAGACCTCAAATTAAGCTGAAATATTATCATCACAACATTAGCTGTGTGCAACGTCTCGAATCCCCTCAGGCAATAGCGTTGAGACGGTGGGAATGTCTCCAAAAACTACCTTTGTTTGGCTCAAAGCAATTTAGATAAAGATGCCTATTTCAAAACACATTCTGAATAAAGATAATTCAAAATGATTATCCCGACACTTGTTAATACACGAACTACTTGTCGTTTGTCTGTGTGTTGTTTGTTTGAAAAAAATATATATAGCTTCCAAATTAATCATTAGGCGAAACCTACATTAAACAGAAGAGATGTTGTTCGAGAATGAACACTCGTCCTCAAGAAGG